GCGTAGGCGCGCCGGATGGCGAGCACGTTGAAGGTGGGGAAGCCCCACAGCGAGAGCATGTACGCGTCGGCAACCAGCGCAGCGGCTGTCTCCTTCTCGTTCACTCGTCGGAGGAGCTCCTGGTAGGGCTCGCCCCAGCAGAATGCGGCGTCGATCCCTCCGCTGTCCCACAGCTCGAGCATGCGGGCGTTGTCCTCGAAGACGAGGGTGACGTTGCGGAGCTGGAAGAGCTCGATCAGGAAGACCATTCCCTGGTGCGTCGTCGACTCCTTGACCACGCCCACCTTGGTGTTGGCCAAGTCAAAGGGCGTCCTCGGCCCGACGCTCTTTGCGATGAGGCCCTGGTCACCGTGCTTGACGTGGACGATATACGAGGTGGACAGCTCGACACCGCGCGACACCGCCGCCGCCCAAGGCACGGAGCCGAGCACCGCGGCGTCAAGCAGCCCAGAGTCCATCGCAGAGGCGGCAATCATGCCAGAAGGCTGGATCGAGCATGTGAGCGTCTTGTGCAGGCAGAGCGCGTTGAAAGGTTGCGGCTCGGCAAAGATGCCGAGACGGAGGCTCGAGTTCGGGCTGGCGGCTGCGCTGCCGAGCGCAAAGAGCAGCGCAACAGTCATGACATAGGAGTCTCGGCCAGCCAAGGGACTCGAGTGCAGCCAGCGTCCGTCCCCCATTGAAGAATTCTGAGCGCCAGCCTCTCTCACAGCCCCTTGTCAGGAGCAGGAGAGCCCCACCTGTCCCCCTGATCGTCCTTCCAAAATCCTGCTCGTGCAGGTGGGGACCCTGTCCTCCTCCCCCATCCCTCGTCTGGGTTTGTCTGTTTTCTTTCTTTCTTTCTTTACACTGGCACGACAAGCGGTCTCAGACCTACATTCTATATTCCAGAATGGCATTCTTCGAAATAGAATGGGCGCCGCAGCGGCCCGTAGCGGCGCCCCCTGCGTGCCCACGGCCACCCCGGGGCCATGGGACATCCCCCCGGCCATCGGGGATGCTTGGTTCATCCATTACCCCATTTACACGGGCTGTGTTGCGGCGCGACTCGAGACGCGCAGCGCAGCGCAGCGCGCAAACCACAAAACAGATCAGAAGACGGCCGTGGCGACACCCGCTCTCTGAGCGACAGCCCCGCAAAGGGCACTCGCTCGCAGGCAAGGACTACGGGCAGCACAGGCAGCAGCAGAGCTGGCGGTCCGTCTCCCCGCCCGCTTAGCAAGTCGGCCCCAGCGTCACGGCCGGGACGGGCCAGGAGCCGCCCGGCTCGACGAGATCGACGAAGAGGACGAAGACGAGGACGAAGACGAGGAGAGGACTACTCGAACTTGGACGAGGACTCAGGCGAGGCGCAGGACTCGGAGATCGGGCAGGGAAGCGAGGACCATGACTAGGTGACACGAGGAGTAGATGATGTGACACAGGTAG